ACTTCTTTTTTATTGCTGGGGACAGGTTTCTGGAGGACAGCTGCAACCTTATTTTGATCTATTCCAATTGCTATTCCAGAGACTACGTGTCCCAAAGCCTTGATTTGATGGAAACCAAAATTGCATTTCTTGAGGGAAATCTTCATATTCATCTTGATCACTATTTTTAAGATTCTGCTGATTCTAACCAGATGTTCTTCCCAAGTGTTGGACATAATGATGATATCGTCAATATATATTATTACCCATTTCTCATCCAGCTCTTTTCTGAATTCAATATCCATCATCCGCTGAAAGTGTGACGGGGCATTCTTGATACCAAAAGGCATTCTTAGATATTCATAAATGCCTTTATGCAGGATAATTCTTAAGAGGTGTCTAGAATCTTCTGCTATCACATTCTGGTGGAAACCCTTCAGGACATCCATGCTAGTCAGAAACTTGGCTTTGGCTAGGTTATTGAGGGTCTCACTGATCTTGGGTATGGGGTACCTGTCTGCTGCCGTGTAAGAGTTCAAAGACCTGAAGTCACCTACCATTCTGGACTTACCATTATGCCATGCAATAATCACGGGTGTGGTGATTTCTACTACTTCATTGTGGCCAACCTTCCTGAGAACATTCAGTCTCACCAATTCTTCTATGTGTTCCTCTAGGGCCTCTCTGCTTTTAGGGCTAGCAGGGTAGGGAGGTTTCCTAAGGAGAGGAGGGTAAGGTCTCTCAGTGGTGAGAGTCAGATGCACTTCATGTCCTTTGATGGCTCCTAATGGTTGATCTGTATTGGCAAATGCAAGTTTATTCTGGTATAGCACTTCAAACAACTTCTCTTTTTGCTCCACAGTCAACTTGTCATATATTTTGCAATCTGACAATTCTTCAGTAATGAACTTGCTCAGCAATGGTTCTAGTTTCTTTACAGGGGAAATTTCCGTTGAAGGGGACATCTTTTCATTTGAGTGAGTTTTGAAACTGAATTTCTTCCTTTTGTTGTCATTTCCAATGGTAAAGAATCTTTCTTTACTATTTGTAATGTCGAAACCATAGAGTGACATATAGTCATTACCTAGTATGAAATAATTTATTCTTGCATTTTTCATGACTACAAATTCAGTTTGAATTCTAACTGAGCCTTTGGTATGGGGAAAAATTAGAGGAATTTCCACTATGCCTAAAGGTTGTAATTGATCACTACAGCTATGGAATCTAGCATGATTTATTGGCATCAGTTTTTCTCTCCATTGAGGGAGGATGGATTCTAAAAGAGTATGGCTAATTATAGAGCAAGAAGCGCCACTGTCTAGTAGACAAGAAAATTCTTCACCATTGATCAGGACACTAGTGAGGTTTGATTTGCCTATTAAATGGGCTTTCCCTTTATCAGGTTTACACCTCATAAGTCTAGCATCTTCCACATGGGAGGTCCGGCAATTCTTGTCCCAAGTCTGAGGTTGATGGGATTCAGCTTGGATTTCAGCAATAGAGAAGTCATTGGTAAATTCACATTCTACAGCACACTCTTCAAAATTAAAATCAATTAAAGGATCTGATGTACCATCATTTTCCAAAGCTAGGATCATATGGTTTTCACTCTGAGGTTCCTCCTCTTTATCATATTGGCTGCCAGAATCAAATTCACAATTATCAGGTTGTTCTTTGTCTTCTTCCTCAGGGTCTAACCCTACATTGTTAATTCTGTTCTTCTTTTTGGGGCACTCCCTAGTGTAATGGCCTGGTTGTTTACAGAAGTGGCAAACATCTTTCCCTTTTGTGGCTTGAGGATTTGATGGAGGGGGTCTCTTAGAGTCAGGTTCATTCCTGCTGGCTTCAACTTTAGTACCCTGATTGTTGTTTCTCCAGGAATTCCTATTGGTTTGTGGGCTATTTGTATACTTTGTTTTATACTGTCCCATAGCTCTGTCAAGGATTTCTTCAACAATTATGACCATTTCCTCAAAGTTCATATCTTCTGTAGCTCTATTACAACTGCTTTTTACTGCATGCTCTAAAGAACCGGGGCATTGCTTCAAGAGTTTTTCACAGACTAGAGGTTCACTCAGTTCAGGTTGGTAGGCTCGAAGTCTTTCTCTTTGGGTGTTGAACCATTTGTGAACCTTTCTGTTATCTACTGTGAAGTAGTCTTTCTCAAATTCCATTCTCATCTTCCACTTCCAATTATGAGTACCAAACTTGTTTCTAATGGTGTGCTTCCACCAGGACCATGATTTCCTTCCATATGTGTCTCTTATTCCAATGTACCAATTTTTTGCAGTATCAGTGAACAAGGTGGTCAGTCTGCTTATTACCATATCGTCCGTCATCAGGTAATCTTGTACATAAACATCAATGTTTTTCAACCACAGTTCATGGTTGTATGGGAGTTCTCCGGAGAATTTTTCCCATTCACTTGTTTTGGGGATGCCTTTCCATAGTTGGTTTCTCACGTCTGAACTTATGTCTCCATGATCAATAAAAGGGAATTCTTCACCCCAAAGGGAAGGAGGGTTTTCCCTCTTCTGGATGACTGTAGCAGAATTGTTGTCTTCTTTATTGGTCCCAGTAGGGTTTGGGAAATTCTGGGAATGTTTGGATTGTTGGCATTTGACTTCAGTTTCTTCTGGGGGAAGTTGGGGTGCTACTTCAGATGGAACATTTAAAAGAGGATTGTTAAATCTCAGGTGTGGGGGAGGATCTCTACCTACTGGCTCTAATATGGACTCAAGTTTGTTATTGATACCATACGTGGTCTGGCACACGTCTCCCATTCTTCTCTTTAGTTGTTCAAATCTGTTATTTTCACTTATATCAAACTCACTGATCTGGGTGGAGATATATTGAAAATTGTTGGCAGTTCTTTCCTCAGAAGATCTCATCTCTTTCTTAACTTCTTCAAATTTTGAAACATTTTCTGTGTCTCTAACAAACAGAATATCTTGGAAGTCTTCTAGTTTTTTATCAATGTACAGTTTCACTTCTTCCACATAGCTTGGGCAATGATGATTGCTTGGCTCTTTGCTCACTTTGTCACTCAGGTTGTCAATCACTTTATCAACTAAAGAAGGAACAATTTCCTCTTTTATTAACTTAGAAATGGAATTTTTCATAGAGAGATTGAAATTTCTTAGACAAGATTCTAACAGAGTACTGGGAATAGAGTCTACTGTTCCTGAAAGATCAGATAGAAAATTAGAAAACAAATCCTTTAATCTATCTTCTATTAACAAAGGAACATCTCTGGACAGATCATGATTGATATTTTGGAGAAAGAATTCTTTATTAGAAGGGATAGATAAGTCATCTAAATCAAAACTATGAGGGGACTCTAGTGGCGTTGTTCTTCCTGCTGGTAGTCTCTTCGCTGGACTTGATTCCTTCCTCTTCCCCTCCCACGAAAGCGGAAAACTCTTGTGGCTACTCCCTCCGCTCTCATCAGGTACTCTCCAACTTGCAACAGCCTCGTTGTCGGATCTTGAGGAGCTCTCCAGTTCCTCCCGTATCCTCTCCAGTTTCTTTGCTGGGGGGGGTGGAACTGTTGGTGGGGCGGCGCGTGAGTCTGAGCCACTTGCTCCTGTTGAGGGGCCTCGTAATTCTGGACGAAACGGGGTGGCTGCTGATGGTGTTGTAAGGTTCCTTGACGGTAGTACGGATGATGCTGCACCTGTTGGTGTTGGTTGTAGTGCTCTGAAGCTCAAGGGGGTTGAGTAGACGGTGGCGGGGGTGGAGGCAAATGGTTGCCTTGCGCCGATTGCGTCCTGGTGTCTTGATGCTGTCTGTGCGCAGTCTGAGGTCTCTGGGAGGTAGTTTGATTTTGGAGCTGTTGCTGGCCAGAACCCAGGTAGGTTATTTCCGAAGCTTGGCGTGTGAGCGGCTGGGGTGCTGGTGATGGGCTGATGGTGTGGGAGTGGGCTCTTTGAGTTATAGCTAGGCGTTGGACCGGCGGCGTGGGGTTCGCTTGCTGGGATCTCTCCAAGTCCGCTAGCTCTTCTCTCGCGATCCAATTCTCGCTGATCCTTAACATCTCCTCGCCTCCCGCCAAATCTCTGATCACTTCCTGGCTGGATATCGCTTGGGTGAGGGCAGCTCGCATCAAGGGAACGTTGTTGTTGTCCCTCGCTTGGATGAACATCAACCATTGGTCGTTGAATAGGTTGATGAATACTTCTAAGTCCTGGTTGTCGACTATTATATCGACCTGACCTGTCGGAGCTGGCGAGGGGCTCAACGTAGGGATTGGGTTCTGATTGAACTGACGAGGGGTCGGAGATTGAATCGTCAGGTTTGTCGCGGTACTCGTATGGACCGCGAAAGTTTGGCGTTCGACCGGGCGCGGTACTGGAGTCGATCGGTTTGACATAGTCTCTAGGGCTAGGGAAGTGGCTCTGGAGTTGATCAACGCCGGTGAGATTCCTGACTCCGAAGGCCGAGCTCCTTGCGCCTGTGGTCTCATGTCGTCCTCGTTGATTTGAGGCAGACTGGATCCTAAGTTTCCGAATGCGTTCTGCAGCGGCGGGACTGAATTGATATCGCGAGTCATCTCCTCGCTGTAGTCCAACAAGTCTAGTTCCGGCTCCGGAGTCGGTCGAGAGTTGTTCTCTTCGTTCGCGGTCTTGTTGTTGTTGTTCAACTGAGATGTTGCGGCCATTTCTAAGATGGGCGCCCATCGCAATGATGAAGAAGGTAGGAAGGACGGAAACAGAGAAATGTAAGGTAGTTTAGTTAGATCTCTGGTCTCGATGTAGTTAGAATGGAGAATCGGTCGGTCGATCAAAACGACGGTAAGAGAGGTGAGGGGAAAAGCAATTCGGGATAGAGGCTGTACCTGTAGTATTACGATTTGGGGGTTGTTTAGTAACTTTTCCAAACAAGGAAAGCAAACGCGGATAAGCAGTTTGTTCTCTATTCGACGATCAATTAACCTATCTGTTGATCGAAAAGAACTGAGGCGAAAAATGAAAAAAAAAATTCAGAAACGACAGGTACCTGTTTTTTTCTCCTTGGGGGCTTCGGTTTTCTAGAAAGGTATGTGGATATCTCCGGAGTCCACTCAGGAAATCGTGTCGGTTCGATCTCTCGAGGTAGAGCTCGTTTCTTTTTCTTAGTTCCTTTATCGCTAGTCGTGGCTATTGGTGTCCACTCTGTCTTCGATATTAGGTTTCCTTCTCTCGGTTGAACTAGCTTCTGTTTCTCTATGAGATCGAAATCGGCTTCTACGTCAGACGGGATCGAAGACAAATCGGATGACGGGTGAAGAGATTTTTGAGGCGAGTCGGGTATAACGCTTCTGCTAATCTTCACTTCGCGGGTTCGACGAGGTATTCCGGATTTCGGAAAAAAGGATAATGAAAACAGGATCAGAAACGATCGATCGGGGTTTTTTTTTTTTTTTTTTTTTTTTATTGAGTCTTAGAAAGAAACGAGTACTCGAGAAAGTTGAGGAGTTGATAGAGAGAAAAAAAAAGGTTTTGGCAAGCGCTCCGCGATGGAAATTGAAAAAATTTACGAGC